GCCCGCAGGAGGAAGCGGCTCCGCGCCGTTCCGGGCTCTGCGGGGCGGCTGTGGCGGCGGCGCCCTCCCTTTGGGACCGGCTTCCCGCTTCCCCAACAGAGCCGCTTTGTGTCCCCTTCCCCGCGGCGCGGCGGGAAGCGCTTGCCCTTTCCAAAGGGAAGAGCTCCCCAAGCCAAGCACGCAGCCCAAATCCCAGAGCGCGGAGGTGCCGGGACATCCCCAGCCCCGCGGCGCTGGGAAGGCCAAGCACCGACCAGAGTGGTGCCGCCGGTTGCGGAACGCTCCGCTGTGCCGTTCYGCTGTGCCAACCTCGGCCTCGCGGGGCAGAGCGCGGGCGGCTGCCGTGGTCGCTCACCCACTGTTAACCTTTTGCTGAGGGCCTCGAACCAGGAGGAAACGCGCCCATGCTCCGGAGCCAAGTTTCACCGAAAGTCTCCCAGGACCAAACGCCCTAAATGTCAATGATCCCAGATCTCCACCTCAGGAACTAAGTCGACAAACAAGGCTGGCCTGAGAAGGGGAATGCCCACACGTGCAGCCAGGGGACAGTGCCGGGGCTCCGCGTGGGAAGGGAGCAAGCGTTGCCCAAGGAGAGCACTGGTGCAACGGCCCTCAGGGCTCCCTTGGGCACGAGAGGAAGGGCAGCGCAGCGCCCAAGCCTGCAAAGCGCTCTCGGGCATCGTCCTCTTTGAAACCTGCCTCAGCCCAGCATGCCTGAAACCAAGCAGCGGAAATGCAGCATGGAAACAATTTTGTGATGTATATAAAACGGATTTTATTAGCAGAGAAAGTCCCGCACTTTCCTCACACGAGCGGTGAACGAAGGATTCAGGGCAGCACACGGGCACCCTGCTCGGGCTGCAGCAGCTCCCTCAGCAGCAGCGAGGCCAGAAGGCCCTTCTGCAGTGGGAAGTGCCCAGGGCACAGCGAGCAGGGCCAGCCTGCAGGGTGCTGTGTCCAAGGGCCAGCCTGCAGGGTGCTGTGTCCATGGGACAGTGCCCGGAGTGCCCGTTAAAGCTGCCACCCATCCACTTGTTGGAGTGGACACTGCGTTTCCAGGATGCAGAAGCCAACACTGCCCTCTCTTGGGCTCAAGGTGGGAGAAACGTCCCCCTCTCAGCCTCAAGTCTCAATCTCATCTTAAACCAAAGCCATTCTTTTAAACACGGAGCATGGAAACACTCAGGGTATCCAATCTCTCCATCAATATTTAATGTTTGGCAGGAGGATCTTGTCCTGAAATCCCTCTGTGGAGGCAGCAACAGTGTGAAAGGAAGAATGTGATGTGGGAAYTTCTTTGAGGAGGGAAATGTGCCAGGCAAAGAGTCTAGCTGAGTGTCTTTGCATTTACAAACCAAAGCTCAGGACTGCAGCGCAGTCAGCGTGTTCTGAGCTCCCTGACGAGGCACTGCTATTTCCAACTGCGCCAGACACTCTGCCTTTAGCAACAGCTTCCCACTCTACCTTGTCCACACCATAAGGCAATCTATGGCTTCTTTTTTTTTTTTTTTTTTTTTTTTTTTTTTAAAAAAAGGGGGAAAAAAATCAGCAAAATTAGCGACTGTAGGATGTCTGGAACCTCCTGTGCTGACTCCAGCACAAACAGCAGGGTGCTGTCAGCAGCCTAGGCAGAAATCTGCTACAAACACACATTTCTTCAGCCAACAGCTTAAAGCTGGAAGTAGCCCAGTGCCCAGCTCAAGGCCACAAACTCGCCAGAGCTGCTGAGCAGGCAAGAAGGGTGTGTGGGGCAGCCCACGCAGCACAGAGCTGCAGGAGAGAAGAGCTCTGTGTTGAAGAGCAGGGTCTTCAGGGCTCAGCCCGCTGGGTCCTACCTCAAGGGGAAGGTGAAGTACTTGTTCCCCGACTTGCAACGGATTTGCTCCCATTGAATGCGCAGCAGGTGCGCCGAGTCCTCAAACTTGTCCACAATGTCCTGGAAAACACAAGCAGGAGTCAGTGTAAGGAAGGTGGATCCCCCAGAGGACAGAGCCGGCAGCTCAGAGCATACAAGCTGCAGCTCCSTCTCTGAACAGCGTCAGAGATGAAGCAATTTGGGTCTGGAAAACTTCTGATTTCTCCTAGGGCTCATGAGGGGCTGTTAAGGAGGGAGGGTGACGTGTCTCCAGACGTGCTGGAGACAGCAGCTCTGCCCATCCCTTCCCCTCCATGCTGCATGGGGACGTACCTGGAGCTCCCGCAAGCACTGCCCTTCCAGCCTGCTAGTCAGGTCTCCAACACACCAGGCCAGGCTGATATGGAAGGATGGGTCCTGAAGGAGAAAACAAAACAAACCCTCCAAGGATCAGGTCTTACGGTCTAGAGGAGCCTTTGCTCAGTGCAAGCAGCCGCAGGGAGAGACATCCCTGATGTCGAAGGCYTGTGGTAGCCCCACTCCCAGCAAACTCCTGCGCAGAGTGTTGGGATGACAAGCCAGCGTCCTGTGGCAGACTATGACAGAGTTTCTTCACTCCCTAATATGTGGGGTTGGCCCTTTYGTGAGCTTGCAGCCCCCCAACCCCTTGGTAAGGAACCAGACGGCATCTCAGGACAAGTAGGGGAACGCAACACCTTACCTTGTAGAACGTGGGCAGATCGAACTCCTCCATAACCCTGTCTAYCTCAGAGACTAGCTCCAGCAGCTGGAAATGCCCCGTGGAGACCTCCAAGCCAATAAAGGTCCTAAACAAAGACCAGAAGAGACAATGCCTCAGCTCAGCCGGGAGCATGTTCCTACCCAATAATTTCCCTAGTCCTTATCTAAAGGGGGAAAAGAAACCCTAACCTGGGGACCTGMAGTTGAAGCCCTTCGAGTCCCAGAACATTCACGGATACTGAATAAATAACAACATGGCAGGAGCGGGGAAAAGAGTCAATACAAGAAGCAGGCCTGGGTGATACACTACATCGCTTTATCAGACTACGCTCAGTGTCCTTCTGTGGCTCAAAACCTCATTTTTCCAGGCAAACAAAATGCAGCTGACGTTGTTAATGGGCGTTACAGTAGAGTGGTGTCCTGTGCAAGCAGAGCGGTTGTGTTTGAGAAGACAGACGTTACTGTTGGAAAACCTAAGTCCCACCCAGCATCCGCATCTTGGTGGGCTGCCATGTCCCCTACATTCAGCAACTTTCCAGAACTTCAATCCCTCTTCTTTTTTTTTTTTTTTTTTTTTTTTAATGTGCTGTGACATTTAAAATGCTTAATAGCCTTAAATTGGAACCGGCACCATCAGGCTGAGCTGACGCCCGAGAGAACTGGCGCTGCCCGAGCCGTTTGTGTGCGGCGCTTTGAAGACCTGCGCCGCGATTTCGCAAGCGGCACCAGCCGGCACTGCTGCCAAGAGAGGTGGCCCTCGCAGCCCGCCCGGGGCTGCGCGTTCCCRCCACCCACTCCCTCCGCCGGCACAGGCCTTTGCGAAACCGCACAACAAACCAGATCAGAGATGGTGGTGAACGGGGCTGCCTCCTTTTGGCAGCGCAGCCAGCTCTCGCTGATGCGAAACGGGAGCGTTAATCTAACCCGAGCAGAAAAGGCTGCCTCGGGTCATGCTGAGCGCAGAGCTCCCTCAAAGAGGCCGAGATTCTGCAGCCCGAGGTTCAGGCTCCGCAGAGAGGAGCTGGCAGAGATGGCGYGATAAAAACTTCTCAGGCTGCCAGCGCCGAAAATCAGCGCTGACGTTAAAAAGCCATCTACGCAGCCCGGGCCACTGCTGAGAGCAGCTGGGGAAAGGTAGGGAGCCTCGGTGGAGGAGGCCAGCGAGAGGASGTGGCACCCGGGCGGCCTCTCCCAGGGCTCCCTCTGCTCCCTGGGGCAGGAGGCTGCCCTGCCACTCACCCACCTGGTTCTGCTCCGGAGGGTCGAAACTCACCTGGTTTTGTTCTGGTTGGTATAAACCTTCACTTGGTCGGCCAGACAGAAGAACCTGAAATCAGAACAATATTGCAGCTGAGGAAAGGAGAAAAAGGGGGGGAAAAAAGGAAAAAGAAGATGGAGAGGGGACTGAGGTTCCCACCAAGAACCATCACAACTGGGAAAGACAGAGACGGGTGCATGTTCCATCTGAAGCAAATGGTGCAACTGAAAGTCTTCTGAGCTTGAACGACTCCCTTTCTGTTTCCAGCCTTCTAAAGCCCTTCTAAAGCAACAGAAGCCCTAAAAGGGCTGATCCTCAGCAGGCAACTTGGCTAAACAAAAGCAGCAAAACTGGCAGCGGACGAATATCTGCGGTCCACAGGATGCCACAACTCCGGCCTTGTCCTTGAGACTGCCATTCCTGTACGCGACAGCAACACGAGGCCCGTGTGCTTCATTCATCCCGGGCTGGGACAACCTGAGTTGAGAGCCCAGAGGCTTTCCTCATGCAGCCCCAGCTCGTGCAAGGAGGACACCGGCTACGGGCGCCGCTGGAGCCACCACAGAGCAAGACGGGAGGAGATGCGYGGGACGGAGCCGGCGCGGGCGCCGCCGGCCCTACCTGTGGAAGGGCGCCAGGCGCTCCTTGAGGGACTGCACGAAGGGGTTGATCCAGTGGTAGCGCAGCACGACGCTCTGCGAGAGGCTCACGTGGAAGTCGTCCATGGGCGCGAGCGGCGCGGCGTAGGCGCGCGCGTGGCGCACCACGAGCTCCAGCAGCTCGGCGAACTCCTCGGGGCCGTGGTCTGCGGGGCAGAGCGCGGCGGGGTGAGCGCGGGCGGGCGGGCGGGCGCGCC